CCATGGCAACCATAATTTTCATTATGATGATCTTGATCATATTTAGCATATTATTCATGATAAATGTTGGTTACTATAACAACCATAATTTTCATTATGATGATCTATATCATATTTAGCATATTATTGATGATAAATGATGGTTACCATGGCAACCATAATTTTCATTATGATGATCTTGATCATATTCAGCATATTTTTCATGATAAATGATGGTTGCCATGGCAACCATTATCATAATTTTTAAGATGATAATGATCAAAATTAACATATCAATCAAAATAAATTATGGTTGCAATTTCAACCAAGATGATCATTATGATGATCTTGATCATATTTAGCATATTATTTATGATAAATGATGGTTACCATGGCAACCATAATTTTCATTATGATGATTTTGATCATATTTAGCATATTATTCATGATAAATGGTGGTTGCCATGGCAACCATTATCATGATTTTGATAATAATGGTCAAAATTAACATATAACCATAGGAATTATTGGCATACCAATAAAGAATTTATTGCTTCCTGCACTTGAGACTTTATAATAAAGTAGATTAAATACTTTAGTTTGACGCGCAGGTAATTTCCCTGGAATTCTGATGACATATAGGTAACGTGTGGGAAAGCGGAGATGAGGGTCAGTATAGATAAAGAGCAGAATGTGCTGCCAATTCATTCTGCTCCTCGCTTCGACAAGGTCATTACAGATCAAATTTGAATTTTTTGACACCTCTTTGAACAGGTAACTATCTCTATATTTATTCTTATTAGAAATAATTTAGAATGTCTTTTGGCTTTCCCAATATTTTAATTTTGGGTCATTCTTTTGTCCGTCGCTTACGGGATGATTTAAAGGCTAATTTCGATTCCCGTGCATCCCAAAATTTCCATATTCCCGAATCGGGTTATGTCACTATGCTGGGTACAGGTGGCCGGACAGTTGAAAAAGTGATTCAATTCGATCTTTCTTCTGTCCGATCTGCCAAACCTGACATTATAATTCTCGAGTTGGGCACAAATGATCTAACTACACATGCCCCTGAGGTAGTAGGATCGAGGCTTGAAGAGCTCGCTCGCCAACTTCGCGACGAATTTCACGTTCGCGTCATTTGGGTGTGCCAGGTGATTGACCGCAACATCGCCAAAACGCGGGAATCTGATAGTGTTTTTAACACCAAGGCCGCTCTTTTGCGCCAGTATTTGTCCGTGGTTCTTGCAGAGGAGCAGGGTATTTTTCTATGGGAACATCGGGAATTTTTCAATCCCGCCCGTGTTCTGTTATCCACGGACGGCGTTCATTGTAACACACAAGGGCAATATTGTTTGTATAGGAGCTATCGCGGGGCTATTTTGCAAGCTCTGGCACTGTTGTAGTTCATGCATTTATCGTGTATATATTATGCATATATTATATTATATATGCATGTGTGTATATGTTTTTCTGTATATCTCTTACTACGCATACTCCGCATTTTTATTTGTCGTTTATCATACGTTTGATTTACTCAATATAGGCTAGAGCAACATGACTGTTTACAGATGCCCACGTTGAGATTTCAACATTGGGTTTTTTACTGCGCAGGACGAGTTCATGATTTTACTTGTTATATATGCGTTGTGTGGTTTGTGATGTTTGTCGTGCTGATGTAGTTTTATGCATATATCGCTCGTTCGTTCTGTGTAGGAAAAAATGCATGTCTTAGTGGGTAGGGCGTTTTACGTTTCCGGATGCCCACAGTTGAAGTCAATATATTGTGGGATGGTGCGGCATGTTGTTTTCAGATTGCCCGATAATTTTCAGTATTTGCAGCATCACGGGATAATCAAATGCGGCTACCCTCGTTGTATGCCATGATTATTCCGCTGCCTTTTCCATTCTTCCTGTCTTTTTTAATATTTTTCAATTGTATTGTGCGTGGCGTGTCTCTGGTATATAGTATTTTACGTATCACCACAGACATTCGTTTCGCTCTTGCTCTGCTCTTTGTTTATTCCTTAGTTCTTGCTATACGGAATTATGCCTGCTACCACTACCAGAGCGAGTAAACGAGTGAAGAGGCGAACGCAACCAACCCGACCCGGCCGACCGCGACGATCGTCCCGCTCCGGTCCACTCACGGCTCCCAGTACATCGGTGAATACCTTGCCGCAGCCATTGTCCGCGCCAACTACTGCACCAACAACAGACAACACCTCTGCGGGGTCTACCAACCATTTTACCCTCTCAGAAGCTACTCTTGCCCGAATAATTTCGGAAACAACGCAGGCGGTCATGGCCAACCTCCAGTCATACACCATCCCATCTACACCGCCCGAGTTCTCGACGGAGACGCGTGAATTGCCAGTGGTTGCTTCGGGTGTGTTGGGTACGGCAGACGCCACGATGCAGGGGCCGGTGGCGTCTGCTTTACTCAATATATCAGGTTTCGAAGTTCAAACGGCTAGCTCCGGTGGGCGTTCGGCCAACACCGACAGTCATACCGCCTCACCTTCTCCCACACAATTGGCCGCTATTACCTCGCGGTTAATTCAATCTAGTTTGCAGCCTTCGTCAATCCCTACCTATCGCAGGGCATGGAAACTCTACAATCAGTTTTCTTCTGCAGTTTTTCAATCTGCTTCAGTCAAACTGCCCATATCGCCTTCAGACTTGGGTTTATTTATCGCATTCATGTTTCAGCGCAATTATGCAGCCTCGACCGCGAATACATATGTTTCTGCATTAGGTTATTGTCACCGTTTAACGGGCGTGCATGACCCTACAAAGGTATTTTGGGTTCTCGAAATGTTGAAAGGATATGGTAAGCTTGGCTCCGGTGTTGATGCACGCCTTCCAATCACTATTTCTATCCTCCGCACAATTTTACAACAGACTTCTCTCGTTGCATCTAGTGAATATCGCGCACTTTATTTAGGGCAATGTGTACGACAGCCTTTTTTGCCTTTTTGCGGGTTGGTGAAATAACGACTTGCCCACGGTCTCCCGGCGTGCTTCAGTTACCTCAAGTGGTTCAGCTTGTTGATAATTTGGGCAATATTTCCGGTTTGAAAATCAATTTTGCGAACTTTAAACATTCCTACAATCAACCTCGCGTTTCTCTTACACTTCACCGCCGTTCCGATATTTGCCCTGTGCAGACATTGCTCGACTATTTTGCGCGTCGCGGTTTATCCGATGGCCCACTTTTTCGCACTCTCGATGGGCGCGCAGTAACACGCAGACTATTTACTGAGCATTTGGCTTTGATTTTTCGTGCATGTGGTCTTGACCCTACTAAGTATAAGGGGCACAGTTTTCGAATTGGTGCAGCTACTTTCGCTGCGGAATTCGGTTTTTCTGACGCTCAAATCAGAGTAATGGGTAGGTGGAAATCCGACGCATTCCGCAAGTACATTCGTAGTCCAAACTTATCTTCGCGACCTATTTCGCATCACTGGACGAAAAATTGGATTAACTTTAGTTTACTTTAAATGTAAATATGGTGTGAATATGGAGAACTATTTTTGAAATATATTTACTTGATGGTTAAATATCAGTAAACTAGAATGTTTAATTCATAGTAAATGCAAAATAAACATGCGTAAATATTATATTTACTAATATTTTGGGCCAAATTTACGCAGTAAAGTAAAGGTAAAGTTTGTGCATATTTGACATATATTTGCCACCACAAGTAAATATGTAGTACTTTTACGCATATTTTCCCATATTGCAAATTCGACGCAAACACAAAATTTGCCAGGATGGACAAATTTGTGTAAATATGGTATTTGCTTTCGTGTAAACAACATGTAAATGTTAACATTCATATTTGCTGAAGCTTACTTTGCAGACAAATAGAATTAAATAAGCAATAATGATTCCTGGACGCAATCTCAAATTTAGTGTCTGAAGCCCGCAGACGAATTCGCGTATTCAAAATACCTGCTCTCAGACTAGTAGCCTCATGATTATAAATTCTCTCAAGTCAGTTTCAAAAGGAATTTTAAAACACTCACTATCACGTACGTAGCATTTTGAAGCAAAATTGAATTTAATTCCCAATAACACTCACTCACTGACAGAGGTCTCTTCATTCTTTATAAGTTCATCCAGAAGCATAACAGTTAATGAAAATGTGTAAAGATACATACATGCATATGCCTAACAACAGTTAACATTCCTGTTGGCTACAGCCTATTTATTCTCAAAAATATCTCAATTTCAAAAAAAAAATAGAAAAATTCACTATCAAGGAGCTAAATTGAATTTAGCCACACAATAACAGTCACTCACTGACAAAGGTCTCTTTAAAGATCTCACAAAATGGTCACTCCAAATCAACCCAGCAGTTTAAAGATCTTGTTTGTGCATAAGTCTATCCAAAAGCTTAATAGTTAGTGAGATTTGTATATGCATATGCCTCCATTGAACAATTACCTTCTTGATGGCAATGTTCAGTCTGTTTATTCTCATTATAAAATTTCTTTCAAAAGCAATGTAGAAACTCACTCATGGAGCTAAATTGAATTTAACTACACAATAACAGTCACTCACTGACAAAGGTCTCTTTAAAGATCTCACAAAATGGTCACTCCAAATCAACCCAGCAGTTTAAAGATCTTGTTTGTGCGTAACTCAATGTCTCAATCCAAAAGCTTAATAGTTAGTGAGATTTGTATATGCATATGCCTCCATTGAACAATTACCTTCTTGATGGCAATGTTCAGTCTGTTTATTCTCATTATAAAATTTCTTAATTTCAAAAGCAATGTAGATTAACTCACCATCATGGAGCTAAATTGAATTTAACTACACAATAACAGTCACTCACTGACAAAGGTCTCTTTAAAGATCTCACAAAATGGTCACTCCAAATCAACCCAGCAGTTTAAAGATCTTGTTTGTGCATAAGTCAATCCAAAAGCTTAAAGTTAGTGAGATTTGTATAATGGATATGCCTACATTGAACAATTTACCTTCTTGATGGCAATCTTCAGCCTATTTATTCCCATTAAAAAATTTCTCAGTTTCAAAAGTAATGTAGATTAACTCACTATCACAGAGCTAAATTGAATTTACTGTAACTACCATACACAATAGCATTCACTCACTAAAAAAGATCAAAATATACTATATTAACTTAAAATGTTTATCTACTGCCACAGCTCTGCTAATTGTTCTTGCAAATTACATGAACCACACAGTGCTGACCCACTACAATATTCACCCTCTTTTGGTTTTTCCATAGCTCTCCTAAACTTCAGAAATCCATTCTTTTTCTTAAAATATTTGATCATATTCATGTATAACCAATCCTTTGCTACATTCCTATCCATCTCTTTGGCACTAGTTTTATTGCCAATTGCAACATCATTACCCAATTGTGCTGCTTCAATTTCATCTCTCTCTTCATGTTTTTTATCATCTTTATTGACTTCTATAAACACATACTTTTTCTTCTTGTTCAACCTTTCCCTACGGTTCTGCTTGTATTGGCGTCGTTTTTCTTTTAGATGTCTTCCCATGCTTCTAAAATATTAGCCAATATTTTAACAATAATATTTTAACAATAGATGTAGTAAAACACATACACTACAGTAGGCAGATTTTGCAAGCTATAAATGGGTTCATATTAAATACCCAAAATTTGAACACAACAGAAATTTCAAATTCAAAAGCACCATGATAGCCATTAAGACATGGCATGATGGTACTTTATACACACAGCTGTTGCCTGTTGATCTCTTAATGCATTTAGGACTCTTCCCAAAACAGGTGAATTCATTTTTGGCTATACTCAGTTGCTATTAAAATGATTCACTTCGTAAATGTAATACGTACCTTCGAATGAAAATTCCAACGTACTGTACTTTATATTTGATTAATTTGAAATTTAAATTAAATTAATAAATTTATTTATCAATCAGGTTTTTAATCCGCGGAAAAAAAGCGCGAAGTGCTTAATGAATCTGTGGTCTATTTGATCAGCGGCAAGCAAATGTAATACACTTAGTTTAACAGAGCGCAACATTGGTGTATTACGACTACCTTGCGTCCCTTTGCATACCTTTTAGGCATACCATAGCCTACCTTTAAATTACCTTAGACTACCTCAACCTCGTACCCAGGGCTTGCTGCTAAGGGCGAAGGCCCTGGTAAAAGCTGATCAAAATACTCCCAGATTTTGGGAGTATTTTTGAATCTCCTGAAAAATTATGATGACTATCAGGGGAGGGGTGTTGAAAACAGCAGACTTAGGTTCTAGGTTGCTCAACCACCCTGATAGCCACATAATTTCTAATGAGATTCAAAAATACTCCCAAAATCTGGGAGAATTTGGATCAGCATTTTCCAGGGACTTTGCTTTTAGCAGCAGGTCCTGGGTACGAGGGTGAGACTACCCTAGGGACTTTAGACTGCCTTAAACTACCGTACTAAGCTGCATATTGATGTTCGATTTCGTTTTTGGCAACACGACGAGCGAGGCCTGAGGAGCAAACTGCGCAGAGGCTGGACCATACTTGGTACTTTTACAAAATAACAGTTGGCAACGCTCGAATGCATTCTGCACGATTGGCATGATAATAGCAAAAAATAACCTAAAAAGGTGTAAGTAACTTTCTGCCATAGCCTGATTTCTGCCATAGCATGATTCATCCATATGTCCTTTTAAAACGGAATTAGGAATCAAGAACATGTAACATTTGCTGAAATATTTCAACTTTTCTATTTTGTCATCCATCCCTACAGGATGTGCTCAAAGAAGTTGCACATTGGAATACATATCGAAATAGAAATTGCTGAAAATGGGCTGAAAATTATGTCAAAAAATATTAAAATTGAATGAAGGTAAAGACGCGTACAGTGTTCTATCTTGAAACCTACTGTAAAATAAAGAATGCTTTAGTACCTTTGGCCACTCGTAAATTCACTATATTGGTATTAATAGGAGATTGCACTTGTTCTCGAAGAATTAATGAAAAATAGCATTTGTTACAAATACTATGCTAAACACGCGTTCAATTTTTCATTTATACTTCTCGAGCTGTGCAATTTCCTGTACCAATTTGTAATATAGCGATGTTACTAGCATGTATTTAAATGTCTCTTAAACTCAACTCAACTAACTCAAACTAAACTAAACTAAACTAAACTAAACTAAACAAAGCTAAACTAAACTAAACTAAACTAAGCTAAAGCGATTTCTAATTATATATATACAATTTATTTGAATAACCTTATTGGGCATTGCGCGAATTTTGCATGCAATGGTGAGCATTTCAACTGGCCAAATGTAGTCAAATTCGACGTTTTAATGGACTTAGAGATGTTCTGGCAAATCCGGTCAACACTGAAACTTGCGCGGAACTGGGCACACAATTAAAACTCTCTCTCCGTCAACAACATCATAAACAGGACAAACCTACAAAAGATCCTTTGCACTGGAATAAAACTTGCACAGCCATCTAACTCCCAGACATTTCTGCACCATACTTCAGTTGGGGATCCCAATTTATGTCTTTGGGGATGTACTGAAAAACCATCTTACGGCCGCAAGTATAACATTTCACGCGATTATCGTTAACCTCTATACTCTGCTCAAGATATAGTCAATAACACCTGGTCTAAGATCCGTACCCGCTTTATCAATGACCCCACCAAGACTGCACCATCTAGCCATTATGTAACATGATCTCTCTCCCCGGGAGTTCAGAGACCCAAAATATTCCCCCGCGAAAAAGACACCAGCATAACGATTAAAGTGTGTGGTAACTGATTCTACGTTTAGTCCATCAAATATTTCCATATACACCTTGTGATTAAGGCAAGATCCTCTGCGTCCAAGCTTTCTAAGGAATAGGGACAACGCAGTTCATACACAGTCTTCCTTTCATCGATTCTCCATCGTGAGTCGTTCTTTCGGACAGGACCAATGGCAAGCATACTAGTCTCTATCACTTCTTTTGTTTTCATGTCTTCCAGCTCAGAGGCAAGCGTTCCAGTGTTCTTAATATTTAGTTTTTCAAATATAGGTAAAAACGAATCACCAAATTGAACTGGCAGCTCCAAGTTTCTTACGAACTGTTCGGACGTAAACTTTCTCATTAACTGTACTTCTACTGACCTCTGATTGGTAACAATTTCGCCCAAAAGACCATTGTACCGCTCAAAACTGAATAGCCAAAACGAATATACAGGTCCGTAATCCAAAATGCAGTCGAGAATGTGGGTGTGCATATGCATGTTTGGCGTGACCTTCTCTTTTCCATAAAGATTTTCAAAGCCCTTGCAGAATTTTAAAATGTGCGAGTGTCCCACTTCTGCTCTTCCTTCTGTGATGACAGGAGCACAATACAAGATGCAAGCCATAACAAAATCATGCCATAATTTGAGATGCTCATCATTCCAAAGACTAAACACTGAAAAGAGAATTGTCCACGTTTTCCACTGATCAGCGGTAAATCCGCCATAACTATTTTCGATTTTCTTAGGCATTCTACCAATAGATGACGGTGCTTTGATAGTATCCAACTTTTTCTGGATGTTCATAAGATCCTTCCTTTCAATAAGTGGTGTTTCGCCTTGCAACCAAATATTCTTCATTAAATGCTTGGAAGTTCCCAGAAACAGGTTGTGCATTGGATCGACAACATGATACCGTACGCAATCAAAATAAGGCAACATCATAAGCTCCGTGAACCTTGTGCCATAACGCTGTTCAGCTGCAGCTTGATCGGTCATACTTGTCTGGTTAAGCACTTCTTGAGCTTGTTGTCGATGCTCAGCATTCTTTCTAGGCGGGGAAGGTTCAAACCCAGAAAAATCCATTTTCCCTACTACCCCAAGAAATGCTTTCTTGCACTTGGAGCATCCATTGCGGGCCCCATGACCAGTAAATCCACACACTTTTCGAACGGCAGGTAGATCGCACGCTATACACAATAAGGCAGCACGAATGCAAATTTCAGAGTTAATATTTATACCGTCCGTCCATAACAAATTTAGTTCTGTCACCATGGGCTTGAGGTACGTATTTATGTTCAACGATGGTTCTTTAGGACCTGGAATCAGACCTACCAACAGGACATTTTCAGGCTTAAATCTCTCGCTCCTGGGTAAGTTCATTATAACCAAATACATGGCCCCAACGCTGTAGACGGAATGTTTGAATGGCTGAAACCAGTCCACGTTAAGCATCAAAGCATAGTTATCAGGGGCAGCTAAGAAAGGTTTACCTTCAACGAATTGCCACTCTCGCCAAACACGTCCATCAAAAACATCAGCTAGAAAACCATTAGGAACTTCTCTACTTCTCCACAGTTCACACTTCTGGAGAAATCCATTTCTGCTTATCATATTCTTCAGTGTTTCCGATATACTTTTATAGCAAAATATTTTGAATGGGTACAAATGGCACTTTCCGTTCTTTAACACAACTTCTCTTAATAGCGGCTCGTTACAACGCTGCCTGCGGTGAACTTGGCGATGATGAGGAAATGAAATAAACTGACATTTTTTGGTCACTTTTTTGCCATACTTTAACTCGTAGCAGTCGTGAAATGAATATAAACTGGAACATTTGTTACAGACAACGTATTTGGTAAAGCTGTCTTTTTCAATGCCAAGATATGTACGTAGCGATGATATAGTAGTTGGAAAAGATATAAAAACAGCAAACGGTGGAAAGATTGTCCCCAAAACAGTAAACCAACGATGAAGAAATGACAATAGCAACTCCAGTGCAGTTTCTGAAATTTTGCAATGGGCAGCCCATATAGACAAAAATACAAGTGCCCAACGCAAAATATTCTTTACTGGATTAGATGCATTACCTTTAAGATCGTTGGAAACATGTGGTATAGAGTTTCTCTCAAGGTCAACATTGATATCCTCTTCAGAAATCTCCCAAATTTCTGGGTTAATTGGAAATACACGCTCTTTATACAACCACTCTGAATCTGACGAGTCATCATCATCTGAACAAACACTGGATTGACAATCGGATTCTACAAAAACATGGATATGATATTATTGCATGTACAGTCTGTCTAGGGTTAGAAAATTTTACTCGAAGGGGAAGACTACCAGAAAATGGGTTAAGAAAACTACATCGACTGCACCTACTGAGTAATACCAGCTAATGGGTTAAATATACAAATTGTACTGCCTTGTTTAAATAGTACACGGGTAAAAATTAACTTTGGACACATTTTCAAATACATTTTGTGGTCCTCAAACCTTTTTGATCTTTACTACTTGTGTTATACCTAATTTTTGAGATCACCAGGTCTAATACTTCGTCTTTTGAAATATGTCCATGGCCACTGAGGTTTTCCTTTTGACGTTGCATATACAGGATCACATAGTCAAGGGCAGGGGAACCGAGCCTGGATCCAGGCCAACTACGTCCAAAACCCTGATGCATCAAAGTTCTCAAGCAATCCTGATCATCATAGGCCAGTTGTAAGAAAACTGTTTGGCAAATTGGGTGAATATTAAGCCCCCTCCTTAAATATACCCCCCCCACTCAGTGTATATGTCCACCCTAGTAGGCCAAAAACACACATTTATGCCTGCAAAGATCAAGTGTATACAATTATATAAAAGTAATGTTATGGTGTTTGTCTAGCAGTGTTGTGACTCTATTTAGTCTGATGATACAGTCACCATAGTCCTAGGAAAGGAAAATTGGTTGTACATCAACTGCCTATATATAGATATGACAATTGGCCTATCAACTGTATATCTGAGGCAGTTGTTATTTGTTATGCTGTTATTTGAAGAAACTGCCATGCTGTAACCTGATTGCCTTTAATAGTCCACCCTAATCCAAATAACAAATACCTTCCTTCTGGCCCATACTAAACATAAAAATACCTCATTTCAACTCCAAATATCTGCAGAAATTGGCAAAATTTATAAACAACAATATCATAATAATAAAAAACTGCCCTATTGCTAAATTAGGCCTGTGGGTACATGAACAGCTTCAAATATTTAATAGGGAGTAGGGGACACTAAAAGCACATATCCTATTGTTTTCGCTAAAAAATGCTCTTTAAAGAAAAGTTGAGGGGACACAATGTCCCCTTAATGGCTGTACCTTATATATTTTATAAGCCATGATATTTGTAGTTAATATTTTCTATTATTTATGTAAAAATGTCACTGCAGGGCTTACCATGAAAGCAATCCGAACCAACGTCGTCTCCTTTGTCTTTAGGGAACTTTCCTTCACATTCGTCTTGGGAACTATCATTAATATCTCTCGAATGGAGTGTTCATCTTCTTCATCCGAAGAAACGACACATGTTTTCCAAATACCTGTTTCTTTGATAAAAAATAGCTTTTCGTGCGTACGATATGTTCTTAGCGTAACAAACTCTTGACAATGTCCACAGTACTTTCTTTTTTCACTCATGGGATCAAATATTGATTCGAAGCTTAAAATATATCGATATCGAATAAAGCTAATACCCGTCCGCCCGCAAGCATAATGATAATCAAAATTTGAGATTTAATGTTCATATGACTTTCACGTGTCATTCACGTCGCAACTCCCTGACCGACCAAAGTTCATGATTTGGGAGCAAGGATATCGGATTTGAAATTTTGGCGCTAACTTGCCATGAATTATTCAACGACACACGTACATTGTGTAAAGTACATTGAATTTTACGCGATTTATTTACATCGAAAACGTATTTTGTGCTATGGGGCGACTACCACCAAACCGGCGGAATCGCGTACATTTGTATGGAAAGAAACTTGCAGAGAAAAGTAATAAGAACACAGCGTCTAGTTCATCGAGATCAGCGAGGACATCATGTTCGCCTAGCCCTACAACGACAGACTCGAATATTTCGGAGGAAAATGTCAGTCAGGACACAAGGCGCTTTTCTGACATGATCCCAAACGCACCAATAACTCCTCAGATACCTATGCCTCCCGAAGACAACTCCATAAGTCCTGATCTTGGACTTGAAACGACAACGATTCCAACGACGGTATCCAGCGTTCGCAACACCGTGCGCAGAGAAAGTACTCCAAGTTTGAGTAGTTCTGGCAATAGTTTTACAAGGCGAAATCTATTGCCAGAAATTGATGAAGAGCTGCTAGGAACGACAACGGGCTCTTCAAGGCCAAGGGAAGATGAGATTTTAAGACAAATGAGGATATTTATGGAACAGCAAAGCACCTTCAACCAGCGACTGTTGAAGTCGATTGAGGAAAAAGGCTCGCAAGGGGGATTAAAACCTGAAAAAAGAAGAACAAGATTGCCCTTAGAATTAACGGTATATTACCTATCAATTTTACTATTTTATGGTACTCTTTCATCTGTTATTTAGGGAGAGAATAAAGGTGGAATATAGCTTTCCCTTTGATCTCCTGGCCCATCCACCCTTTTCAGAGGCTGGTTAGTGCACTTTGCCAAGCTGATTTTATTAGATCTAGTCAAGCAGCCTTGCAAATGCAAACCACTGGCTCACAGCTATAGATAGTATATGTATACTTTTCACAAACCTGAATTTGGCTCCTTTATAAGCAGCTTTCACAGTTATGACCCACATGTCAGAATCATTCAAGAGTGCTAAATTTGCATTGGAGTCCTGGGAAAATTAATGTATACAATATATCAGCAAGCAGTGGTTTGTTTTTGCAAGTTAGACCACCTCATGTAAACACAGAATGAAATCAGCTTTGTTACAAGTGCAGGTTCAGTTCCAGATATATATAGCATCTCTTAACAGTGGTGGATTTATAGGAGGGTGCACAGGGTTGTAATCAAAGTACATCTGTAATGAGATTTGCCTAAAGTCCTACCTTACAACTACAACCCCCCCCCCAAATATTGTATGTATCAAAACTGTAGTAGCATAATTACTTGCTAATTACTATCAATTAGGCTTGTGTTCGTGATGTTGTAAGAAACATTGCTGATGATGATGGAAATTCACTATCCTGGGATTTATCTAAAAGGTAAGTTGCCATTATGTAACTTTTTGATCTTTGTCTGCATTGATCAGATGGTATATTAAAGAGCCCATATTTCTTAATATATCAGAGCAGTTTATTACACTTTTTGCACTGTTGTTATAGTACATGCTCTGAAACAAACTAATGAACCAACTACTAGCTAGAATGGCCTTTTGGCTTATTCCCTATTCTGTGTCAGTGGTAGGTAACTGCCAGTTACCAGCAAATTTGCCAGTGCATGTCTCTTGATAACATTAGCTGGCAAATTGCAAAACTTTAGACTGCTGGTAGGCTATCACCAGTATACATGACATATGTATCATGGGTTAGTATTTCATTTATTACTCTATTAAGTGCCTGTAACAAATATTTTCATAGTTGCATCGCAAAGTTAATTTAAACTCACATGAACTCCTTGGATATCGCAAATTATTTGGCATGCAGATTTGACTTAAATGAGATAACACTGCATAATATGCCTGCATTCTAAAAGCTCACTCAGACATTGATTCAGGAAGGACTGCATCACTGATCAGCAGCACTGTGATGTTGTCAGTCACACTCACTAACTGTGAGTGAGCTTTTAGAGCACAGGCGATAATGTCATTATTGACAACTAGCTTGCAGTAAACTGCTTGATAAAGTTGTCACTGTCTCAAATTTATGATCTAATTGATAAGTTATAACAGCTCTTTCGGTCATTAGTACATGTTTGGCAAGGAATGGCATTCTTTCTAAAAACTCAATATGCGTTGATATCACTTAAGTCATATTTTGTGTCAAACAATATGCAATATTTGCAAATATCTTGATAGGCAAGAAAACTTACATTGTGGTTTTAAATGAACTTTGCATGCAACCCAAGTAATTGTCACAGGTACTAGCGTTATATTCTGTATTATGGACAGTATTTTGATAGTTTTTTCTATTTATCTGCCTATAAAGTTTTGGAGCAGTAGAAAATCAAAATGTTAACCGTCTAATCATGGCCTCAATTAAAAGTGTCAATGATGCACCAAGTCAAGTTATTAGAGGTACCAGTACTGTACAAATAGTTTTCAGTTACATTAAGAGTAACATTGTGCCGCCATGCCAAAAGACTTAATTTATGCATTGTGATAATTTTTTTGGGTGAGTGACAAAAGTAGTGCTCAGATTTGGCTACTTTATATGCAAGATCAGCACAGAAGAAAGTTCATTATGCATATTTACTACTTTTAAAAACTAAAAACTCAATCTATACAGTATACATCTTTAAAACTGAAACAGAGTACATGTATGTACATTTGCTGTGCTAGTACCATTTTAACATGCTCCAGCATGCTTTTAAAGCCATTGCACATGTACAGTACTTGTGTTTACATGCATTTATTCACATTTATTACGTAGCGGCAATGCATTGTTATTTCAAAACAAGAAAACGTGCCGAGAAGACCAAGGAGCAAAACCTGAGTGATCAGTATCTCAAAAAGCAAAGAAATAGAAGTAGAATCAATACAGTAAGTGTGAAATATCAATTTCAGTCTACAAGTTCTCCCTTATACCGAGGGCTTCACCCTGCGAACACAAGATTCGTACAGTTCTTCGAATTACATATGTAAATTAAGGAAGAAATATAAAGAGTCTCAGCCTGCTGCTCAGCTTCTGCTGTGTTCTTTATTCTGTGTTAGGAGTTTTCTGTGTTCAGCATTGAAAGAAAAACATTCTGTAGCAACATACATACATATACAATCCTCTCATATACTTGTATAGTAGTTTCCATTGATATGTCTCATTGTATCTGGTAGATTTTGCAGTTTGCATGGTACAGTTTTTATAATATTATAGTTGTATTAAATAAGATCTATCTTTACCTGCTTGTACTCTTTGAGGCTGAGACACATCCAATTTGGAGAATCTTTACAGAGAACCTCCTCCTGTGTGCATTTGTAAAGAAGCAAACTTTTGGCTCCTAACGAAATTTCATTATTATATGTTGTTCCTTGTTTAATAATTTTAGTTACAACCTTTCCGTAAAGCCGTTCGCTAGTATATAAAGTTACGAACACTTACAAGGTAGTCTTGTCATATATTCATCTAAATTCCCCTTAAACTTGTCTTCGTTTAAAAAATTTAGATCTACGCAGTGGTAAGTTTCACTTGTATTTCGTAGGTCGAATTTGTACAACATTCGTCTGAATGTTCGCGAACTTCGTTGCTAAGTTCCCAAATACGAGCGGAAGTTTTCAGTGAAAAGCATGTTGAAAAAATGACTAAACAAATCTCCATCCAATTTCCTAAATTATCCTCGCTTCCTACGAAATTATTAAAATTAATGTGATTATTTATAGAAACGAAAGCTACGCAAGAGTACTTTGCAGATGTCAACATCGATATCGGAAAAAGAAAAATATGAAAAAATAATGACCAACGACTACATGTCATCAGAATACTCGGTATCCGAGGCATCTGAACGAGAGGATGCGTCCTCTGGTGATAGCTCTTCGGATACCGAACATCAATCAAAAGGGCAAGGAAATTCTCCATACAGCGATTACCATGGAGAAGTGATGAGGCCAACAAACTGATGGTGACGTTGGACAAAAAAATTGGCAAGAAGAGAGGCAGAAAAGGGGTGTGCATGACCTATGAGAGGGTGAAGGGAAACAATTCAACCCGTCTTGCGCCTTTGGATGCCCCAGAGTGGGCAATCAAACAATGAAATTTTTTTTGAAACATTATTTCTCGTATTTTTCTTCTTTTTTGTACATAATCATAGGTGAATTATTGACCACACGTTTTTAATCTTTAATCGATTTGGTTTTGTGTTAGTTGAATTGTAAGCTTAATTGTAATTTGTAAACATTACTCTTAAATGTGCAACAAACACTTTCTTTCATTATAGAAATAAATATTGATACATTACAGTATTAGCTATTGTAGTTGTGATCATGATTATTGAAACTAGGAAATTGCATGTCAAATTTCTGACCGCATTTTTTCCATATAAGCAAATGCAGTATGTACATGATCTTTGCCTTATTTTAACCATGTGTAGAAATGTTGTATTTACGAAATATTTCACCACACGTATTTGCAAGGAAAGCAAAACGTGAGCAAATTATTTGTTCACCTCGGTGGCAATTTAAGACAAATATACAATAGCAAACGTCGTGTTTGATAATATTCAAAATATGATGCCAATGGCAAGTAAATATAGCATTCATGTATATTTTCAAGCAAAACAAATAAAACGCAAAATTCGTATAAAACTCGGGAGTAAATCCAACTAAATGGGATATTT